CACTTGTTTAATCAGTGTCTTGATTTATGCTTGAAATAAGTCAGAATTAATTAGGCTAGAGTACGAACTGCAGAGATCAAGAAATGGTAACTACAAGACTTCAGAGTTGAAGTTCGTCATTATCAGCTATTTTGACATAACAGTGACAGTGGTGCTGAACTAATAGAGTATGTTACCTCATGTAGGCTCATTTTGTTGTTTACTCATTTCGATGTGGTGGCTTCCGTAATCTTCCTCCTTTTCAGGGGTGTTCTGCATGCAACACACTGTAAGACGTGATTTTTAAGTATCCTGTATTCCGCTACGACTTTCTCTACTAATGCACGTCATATGTTACCATAAGGGAAGTGGTTTTCCGTGCAGGAATGGTATTATACAAACCAGGGCAATTTTGGGATTGTATACCGCCTGAAATGAACCTGTACGAATGGCTACACTGGGGGAGTGGAGAAAAGCTCAGTAAGGCGATACAATCTTAAAAATAAAAGTGAAAAGTGAATTCGACGAGGCAAAATACTAAAGCACCACGTTGTCCAACGAAACTCCAACAGAGGAATCCGCAAATAAGCCATCTCGAGAAGGAGAAACATCCGGGAGGCTATCAGAGCGGAATGAACAGTATAACTAACTGGAGAAAATATATGCGGCTAGCTCAGAATGCTAATCTACCTGCCATATGTTGCTAATGCGAATGTTTTGACCAAATTCATGCAGTCACAACTTTTTGCATTTTACGTTTCGTATGCTAGTCGGTTTTACGCTTGCCGCAGTAGGAGAAGGAAAATGAAAGTTGGCTGGCGTTGGAGTGCAGGTATTCCTTCACTTTCATGATTGGGCTTTTCTTTTGATGAAGTTGATGGTGCGGTGCTAATGACCGTTTCTATGTCATCATCTAGAAGTGCCTAACTTTAAACGCAGAGTCTTTAACTATGAGCCAAGCATAGCGTGTTGTCTTCTGTTTCCTTCTCACAGGAAGAAAGATGGGTGATTCTTACCAGAGCCTGAACCCGGAGCTTTTCGGTTCCGAGTTCGACGTTCTACCAACTGGGTAGCTATGCCTGAAGCAGCGTGATAAATTCTTTGCACAAGGAAATTTCGTAAGACAAAGATTGCTCTCTAGCGGAATCAAACCCAGCAGCTCCGGAGTTTGAGGCAGACTTTTTAAACACTCTGCCAATACGATACATTAACGCAATTTGTACGTCGTGAGACCTTCAAACCAAAATCAATATTTGCATCAATTAAAGTTCATTTCATTAGAGCCATTACATCAAGTAGACCCTCTATCTAGAGCAACAAGATCATTGCAAGAGTCTTTTTCCTGAATCAGTGGTTATTACGCAGCCCTTGATTATGTATTGAACAGTAAATATAAGTATTAATCGAAACGTACAATAATAAACAAAAGCAAGCTGTTAGTTTCGACACCGTCGGTAGGAATGACATGCTGCTGTCAATTTTCCAGATTTATACGGCCTTGCTTCTAATTGCATAGGTGACTGTTGAAGCATGCCACAGCTCCATAACATTGTAGCACCTACTGTTGCTACAAGCAAACATCCTCGAACCTCAGTCCGTAGGTGTATATATACAAGACGGCAAATCGACATTATGGGTTTGCTAGCAAATTATTAATTTCAATACTGCCAGTAGGCATAACATTCTCCTATCACCTTTTCGGTTTTAATCGAAATTTAATAGGGTTTATAACTTTTCACGCTTGCATCAATACCGTGCCGTTGATGACCGAACGTAGATACGTTTTCCGACCCGTAGTTTGCAAGACGAAAGACGTCAGAAGTTATTTCGTTATGTAACACAGATCCTATGCTTTATAACCTAAATGGCATGGTAATGAAAGAACGTTTATAAAAACTGATTTAGAACTAGTGCCTAAAACTTTAAATTTGTTTTTGCTGATATCCCCATTATCGTTGAAAGAGAGAGAATGATATTTTGAAAATGAATTTATTAATGCTTGTTTTTGTTGCGTATTTGATGCTAACATGGGATCAGTAGAAATAACTAAGCCTAATGCCCATGGTCTTTGTTCGCATGAGTTAGTGAACTTTAACGTAACACACAATTCAGCAAGGACTTTTCCCGTAATTCTGATTCGCCGTCTTCAAGACGTTGTGCGTTTAATCGATGAAAGTGCTATTTTTATTCGTTAATTTATGCTACGAAGGCGTTTAATATATGCGTATTAGGTGGTAGTATTCGAGGGTTCAATAACGACGTTGCTATTTAGGCATCGAAGAGTGTTCTTGGCCCGGTCGATGCCAGATAGTGAGGAGGGACGACATGGTGTTCTATTTGGACGGAGCTCACACGCCGTTGAGCATACAGGTAAGACAGAGGCGCTTTACAGACAAGATCGTTCGGTTGTTCAGCTGTTGTGTTTAGTATACAAGCCAATGGTTCGATGAGATTTTGCAGAGCTATGTTGACCTAGATTTGCGGTCGGTATACAAGGTTCTTGTGTTTCATTGCACGTACGAACGAAGCGCGGTCGATCTTTTAGCTCAGTTTCAGGTGACTGTGTTTTGTATTGTTTCTGCATATGCACCTAGCTGTTGTTTGCGTCGCTACAATCTGTTAACGCTGAGTGCAAGCGCAACGTTTATTGTTATACTAGCATCTGCTGTTCAGATGTTGCTTAAACTAGTTATCGCTGTCAGTTTCACTTGCTCGATGCTGCATTACCTGTACACTCAATGCGCTGTAGATCAGTCGCTATTTAGATGTCCAGGCACCACTCTGTCTCATATGGTCTGAATCTGAAATGGTCACTCGGCATCATTTCGCTGAAGCTTGAGTTTTCTTGACTTCCATTTTCTTCAAAATTCATACTATAATGATGAACCGAGTTGCCTGTGCAACCGATTAGTCTTGGTATTTATCGCGATAGTGCTTTCCAGTTTCTGACCTGTACCGTGACAATAAGACCTACCATATCATTACGCAGTTCGTCATATCTCGAGGATCTAAGATTTACTGTTGATGTTTTACAACGTAATGTAACACTCGCATTAGCCAACTTCCTGCTTCGCTTTCGTTAGATTTACCGAAGACTGACTTCAGCATACACGACTCGATGAACAGAGTTGCCAGGGAAACGGTCTTTCAGAAAGAAGTGGTAAGGCATAACTCTCAAGCACGTATGTCGATGAGCATGATCAACATAATCCAGTCAAAGTCCACACCCAATGCTGTTTTGATGTAGCATCACTATCGACTCCGGAGGTGGAGGTAATACCTTGAATGCACATTTTAAGATAGAAACAAATCTTAGTGATAATTGATTAAATCGCTGAAAAGTGCAAAAGCTTCATGGAGGCACTAAGCATGACCTGACGCGCTATAGGTTTTGAACTGAGGTGGTACCTTCTGGCTATTCGATATAACAAGTGATTTGGAGCTGTGCAACAGCTAGCTCCGAAATACCCCGCCAGTTTGGAAGATTCTCCAGGTACTGAGAAAAGATTACTGTGCTTTGTATGTCCGACACCGTTCATCTGTTGCGTTCATAGTGCGTTTCTGTTTTGTTACGGGTTGCACTATCGACTTTGAAACACTTTTACTAAAAACCGCTGGTTGCTACACCATTGTTGAAGTAACAGTTCCTTTCTTAACGCGGATCTGCCTCTGCTTGGCTTGTTCATGTTGTAAAATGCCCTCTGGACGACGTGTAGGGTATCTCGATGCCGAGATTAGAAGTTGGGTAGCCCAACTGCCTTGGGTTACGGAGAAGACCCTAGCCATTCGACTGCGAAGGAATCAAGCAAAGAAGAAGTACCCTGTTGCACCCTCGAATGTATCTTATTGCCGTTTCGTCTCATCTCGTTTCTGCGGTCAACCAGAGCTATTAGCGGGACAGGGAACAGGGCTATTTGCTGGAAGGGGAAATCAGGAAGATCGACGAAGCAACCAGAAAGGGTAAGGCGCGAACAGTATTCATTAAAATGCGACGGTTGTCCTGTAAGTATGTGACTCAGTATATCTGTTCAGGACCCCAAGGGTGTGTCACATTTGCAGATCAGAAGGAACGCCTGAAACGATAGGGTGAATGTTTCTAGCAACTGCTCAAGAGCTGCCATCCAGATTCGACTTTCTCGCGAATTAATTCCCTGCCAATGTCAGAGATTAGTACGATCTATCCAGAACAATTTGTACGTGATTAGTACGCAATTCAGCCATTTACTGTTTTTATCTCTGAGTTAAGCGATTTACTGAGGCAGCTACCCACTTATCTTATTCCGTACATGGATATTAAATATTATCTGCTTACGCCGTAGCATCACCAAGACAATGAATATGGCAGGCAGCACGGCGGCTTATGTATTACAAATACATCGATTTAAAATCAACAGCAGATTTACACCACTAACTTTAAATTAAAAATTTTTCTAATCTAGTTGATGATATTTCTCAAACTTTCATCTGTCACAATGGATAAGGATTGTTCATCGCAGACGCGACGTTTCACTCCCAGAATATAAAGGCATTCTTTTATCAAAGCGCAGGCTTTGACAAGTCTGTCAATTATGGACATATTCCTTTGACTCAAGGAGTGTTCATCAGAAAGGGTACGTTGCGCAATACTTAAGTACTTAATTTGTCCAAAGTGAACGGCAAATAAGTTTTCTTTTACCTCTTTTACTAGCAATCCGAAAATTCTTGTTAGTTTTCAAGGTGAATTAGGCCTGCAGAATGGATCGACATGCAGAGGAGTTAATTAGATATGGAGGAATTGGAATGGTAGCATATCTTATTTCATCAAATGTGGACAAACGAATCCCCGAAGAATGGAAATGTCGAGTAATGTTTCCTATATTTAAAGAGGGTGGGTGACCGAGTGTTATGGTGAATTATCTCGGTAGGGCTGAGGCAGGCAATTGATGGGAGACTGTCAAAATCAAGCTTATGGATGGGCTACTCCTGTTTCAACCAAATTCCAACCACAGTGTACAGGATAATTGAGCAGCGCTGATCCGTTTGTCTTGGTTTGCCAGTCTGCTCAACAGTAAGGCTGCATTTGATTCATAACATCGTCCGACGCTGTGGAAAATCATGAAATGCCATGGAATACATGAACATAGCGTTTTTAATTTGAAAGAAATGTATTCTGGAATGCTATCTGTTGTTAAAGTCGAAGGACAGCTGTCCGAGTGGTTCCCCATTAAATGCGACGTTCGTCAGGGAGATATGCTTTGGTATTTGTCATTCATCATTGTTCTGGATTTTTTCTTCAAATCAATGCTTACCCTGTTGTAAAGAGGAAGGAAACATTCTAGAGGGAAAGCACAGTTCATGATATCTGGCTGGCTGCAGATGATATTGTCCTGGTGAGTAGGATGAAATTTTTTCACCTGACCGCTTGCACCTGCAGCACGACTGCGAAAGCCTGTCTGTTCCTTAACGCCCGAAAGTCGAGCGTTATGAGGCACCCCTACGGCACAGCTCAAATACAAGTGGAACAGGGATGTGTAGAAAAAGTTCATACCATTTTAAGTATGATCAGTCACTGGAACCGATAGCATCTTCCTGCCAGACCTAAATACGACAATTTCCCTAACCTCGATACTTTTGTAGGCCAGTCCAATATTTGGACTGAGAATGGAGTTATTTTTCCATCGAAAATTCTTTTGATTTGTTTGTCAGGTTCTTATTGTTGTACAGCATAGAGACGGCTGTTTTAACAAATGAGCAAGAACGGCGGTCGTGTTGCGTACAGTAGCGTTGACTTTTACGCATAAAGAGGGGGGTACAACAGCACTACGTAAGAAATGACTATTCTCTTCCGGTAAATATGGAGTATGCGATAAGAAGGTTTGCCTTGTTAGAGCAGCTGGTTGAGCATATACCGTTCACTCCAGCCCATGAACTTCTCGCGTGGGAGCTGTAAGGATTGGCAAACGTCGACCTGAAGGCCAACGTATAACATGGCGGAACAAAGTAGAGACAGATCCGCTTTCTGAGTTGAATATTTGTTTCTGCTATGCAGTAAGCGGTGTCTTGTAGCAAACGTATTTAAAAGTTGTCAAAGTTCTGGTTAGAAAAAGGTGCTAAGAAATGGTAAGTACGACGTTCAGAATGAGTAGTGTGAAATTTTCCGAACTGCAGCACGTTCGTTCAGATATTCTTCCCTAGTATGCAAAAGAAATACGGACTGTAAATCAGGTTTGTCTACTTCGTAGATTTTGAAAAGACTTGCGAATGCGTCAAGAGAGAGGCTCCCTCTTAGAAGTGTAATCCATAATGGAATCGTGACAAAGTGGCAAACAATCGCAGCTGCGATACTTTGTTTTGAAGAAGTCGCTTACAGATAGAGGTAGTTTGGGGCTGTGGTCTTGCGGTACTTCTTGAGTAACTCATTTTTGCTGTTTGTACGTGCGTCATCCTCTTTGCGAGGATTCACCTCTTAATCTCTGCTGTGTTCGGCATCCTCTCTTAATACAAAAAAATGTACCCCGATGACCGAAGGAGACATGGAGTCTTTCCAGAAGAGCCTTACACTTAGAACATTTCGAAGCATGAGTGATACTTAAACTCGCATAATTCCGTGCACCAGCTCCAACAGGCAGACACTTTCAAGGATTACAGGTGAGTGCGATTGATTGTGCATTTTCAGCAAGCACTGTAAAATTCTGAGACGAAGTACTTCCTGACCCAGAAAGTTTGTCGGACCAGTACCAGTGTTTGTCACTACTGTTGACTCGAAACTATGTTTAGCAGTTGTTCTATTGTCGGAATAATTCTTGCTAACAGTTTAACAGCAAAACTATTGTCGCTTTAGTAGGTGGCGTAACTTCTGCTCTTTGCAAGCAACGTTTGCACGTGAGTCTTGGGCAGTTTGACTGCTTGTTTAGGTTGTCCGTAATAGTTGGTTGTTTCAGAATCTAAATTTTGACCTGGCGTTGTTCTGTCCCCCGGTTGCATTTCCTGACGCCGAAACATCTGCAGGTACTGTCTGTGATAACAGTCGTGCAACGGTAAAATGTCTTTTATAGATGTGACGAACTACATGGTCAGTGTAGGTGGCCGCATGAAAAAGTGTCTTCAGAATCGCTGCGCGTGGCTGAAGCTGATAGAGGAACGTCGTTCGGTACTTCGACTGAACGCTCTGCTTGAATCTGTTTACAGCCGCTGAATTTAGGCAGCCGGTGAGTCGACCAGTGGTCAGAATATACCGCCGTTGAGCAGCGTGGTCGCTTGCGTTTCTGATGCTGTCAGTTACATTGAACTTCTGAAAAAACAAGTGAATACGAATGCGCCAGAATCGCCGCCTGCAAAAATGCACGTACTAGTGACCGGTAGCCTGCATCTTGTTGGAAGCTTTTTACAAGTTTTGAACTGGCAGTCACAGGAGTAGCGGTCATCACCGACACTGACAAATTCTGTGAATGATGTTCAGAATTGTTCGTGACATTTGCCCTGAATTAAAATACAGCTTCGAGATAGAATTAGACAGACCCTGACTTACGTAGGAGTTACGTTACGCTGATTTTTCGCGAACCACGAATTTTCTTTAAGTTGTATTAACCTGCACCATATGTTAATCACACCTATTAATGACGTTTTTACAGTACGTGTAAGCGTTAAAATGTTTTAACGCACGTCATGTCAGTTTCATTCACAGGATGCAGTACATAAGATTTCAGTATGTAATTATCAATGCTAAATGGTATAACCCCAGAAAATAGTATGAGAAAATGCAGATAAATCTATTTAGCCACTTGACTTCCTTATGAAAATATGAAGATACTGAACTGCCTGAGTGAAGGGATACAAATGAACAGAATGTCCGCATTCATTCGTAAATGAATCAAGACTGAAAAAGGCACACGCACGAACCACTTGGACTGTTTGTCTTGCGGAAGATCCCTGTTAGGTGGCGTGCGAGCAGTATGTAGACACTTTATGTGAACGTTTATAATTTGAAAGTTTTTCAATAGCCTGTTCAGAATAATTTGCATAAATCAGGGTCTGCCTGTATTGTGAAATCTGTTCGGTTAACAAAATGTGATAATGGAATAGAGCAGTACATCTGCACGTTTTGTTTATACACTTCCATCCCTCCTGTAGCCTTACTGTCAAACATTTCCATGGACAACGATAAATAGGCTACGAATAACCGACTGTGCAATCAGAAGCCGAGACTGAGCCCTGGACGCAGATCAAGAGATTGAGCACTATTTTCTACGGCTCGGCAATGAATAAAGACGCAGCTAGCGATCCACTTAACGCCTGTCGGAAGCAATCCCTGTGAATTGCAAAACTGGTATGTAGCCGTACACCATTTCAGTTGACAGCGTACTCGATGGTTCAAGAAAATCACATGTTCCACAATTGCGAAACAAACCGCTTATAACCCATGGCTTTGAAGCTTCATGCCGACTCACTTTCTAAAGTCTTTGCCGCACCATACAACCATTGCTATCATAAAGTGCAGTGTGGTTTCATGGCAGACGATGCGCATACACTTGTCCAAAAATATCCCAGGCGGTTTTTAGCACTGGACTAGAGACCAATTACAGTGGTTGCAATTGCATTTAAATGATTGGAAAAAATCGTGCTCCATTTATTCATACGTGACACTTCGATCCTTAGCAGTTGCATACGTTTCGCTGTTTTGCCTGTAGTTGTCAACATTTCTATGAACCTCGACGAACGACAAATATTAGTATTGGGTACCTTTCTGGACTAAAATTCAGCCTCCAACACGCTGTCAAAAATTCAGCTGCTCAGTCAATTGACCACAACGTTGTGCTCTCACGTTGCCAACCTACTGGTCACGAATTACTCGAGATTGTGACGGTTGCTCATGCTGGCACGAAGAAATATGACTCACCTGACGACGCGAAGGGTCATACAAGGCTCCTGTTCGCAAGCTGTACTATTTATCTTAATTTATCGCGATGTCATCCGTACGATGTTGCCACAACGTGTGTAAAGTACGCTGACGACATTGCTCTATTGACCAGTACAGTCGAAATTTGAATTATTGCGTTTTGCCTCAATTCGACAAGTGGGGAACTGAACGAGTGACAGCGCCTAACACTTAATCCAAAGAAATGTCTCGACTAATTTCCATGATGCAAATAGATCTAGGAAAGTTCATTGACTGCAATTTACCGACGGAAAGTTCACCGACCCGCAATTCGTC